GAGGAGCTCAGACAACAAGTACAGGAGGCAAGGAGGAGCAGAGACCTTTCGGAGCTGGCTGGGGCTTGCAGGATGGGTGGGATGTGGAAATGCACCTCAGTCAAGGAAGGGATGACACTTAAGAGGGGATCCGAAAGGAAGATTGGAGTATCTCAGAAACTGTGACCAAGGAGTGAAGGCTTCCTCCACTGGGAGAGACCTGATCATACTGTATTATGTACGTCCTTAAGTAGGGAGACCCTTAGGTTGATAGAATGAAGCTTCCTTTAATTTATTAGAAAATAAACCTTTGTGCAGACATTTCCTATACTATACACGTTACTCAGAGGCTTATGAAATCCTGAACTTCTGAAAAAGTTAAATCTCTCGACAGGAACTCTGGATATCCCCGACGTGCTCAGATCCCAGCTCTCCACCACCGTGTCCCTCCACCCGCACACCCCAGCCTCCATCACACTGACGGCCTTTCCAGTCCTTCAACACGCTGAGATCCTTCCTGCCCCGGGGCCTTCCACGTGCTTGTGCTCTGACTGCACACTCTTTCCACTAGTCTTCTTTAGGCTAACTCCTACATGTCATTCAGGTCTCATCTCAAATGTCACTTCCTCAGAGCCCCTCCCTGGCCACCTGGTCTAAAGTAGGCTCCCTGCCCACCCTCAGCACTCTTATTTCTTCTCGTGTTTCCTGCAGTAGGTCCTGCGCCAGCATCCTTGTCATGTACCTGGGCAGCAGTATCCTGGGGAAAGGAGAGTACTCAGACCTTCTGAGCGTTCTTGGATGAGCTGATGATGATACAGGGACCCAGCATGCCATCATGGCCCCTTGTCAGAGTCCTGGTTAGGTCTGACCCACAGAGGGTGCACTGTGTTCATGGACCAAACCTGTCATCATTTTCCTTGGTCCTGGGTGCACACAAGAATGGTTATACATACCAGCTGACAGACCCCTCCTATTCATTCTCTGACATAAGAACCATTGTGGTAGAAAGCCCTGAAAATGCCCCATCTGGCCAAGGTGGTTGTTACGTTTGGTTTCCCTGGGAAGCGGACTCTGAGACTGTGCAGGAGATGTACCAGTGCGTGCCCTGGGGATAAACACCTATGCCAGGGAGGAAGGAGGACCAGCAAAGGAGAAGTGGGGCTGTGAAGTCCTCAGCCAGCCCCACAGGGTTCTGTGAAGCAGGGTGGCCTTTCAGACTTGTCTGAAACTGGGGTGAAGGGGTTAGAATTTGATACTTCCTGCACTGGTCAGTCATTCAATGTGGGCTTCCCTGGGGAGGGAGCTGTGACCTTGGATGGAAGAAGCTCTCTTCAGCCAAGGTAATTTCCAACCCTGCCTCTCCTGTGGGACTGCCAATGTTAGTGCCATTTTCAAAGTCTCAAAGGACGTAAAGGGTGGCCGTCCTCGTTATGTCCTTACTCAGTTTACTGTGTGGTCCCCGCAAAAATCCAGATGAATCACAGCAGGTGACAATGCACTGCCATGCATGTTACCAAGAGGTAGCCCCAGCTGAGCTGGTTTGCCTCAGGTGGTATCATTACTACAACACACACTCTGGCACATGGTATGCAGGTATGATCTGAAAAATGCATCTTTTCAATTTCATCTAAGAAAGAAGATGAAAATCAGTACGCACTGACCTGGACAGTAGAAGCTCACATCCACTATCTCGCCCCAGGATGACGTTACCTCTCCCACTCTGTCACAATATAGAATGTCACATTAGTCCACCATGTTAATATCATCAGCTTATCAGACCTGGGGATAGGAAGCAGCAAGTACTCTGAATGCCCTGAGAAAACACATTACTCCAAAGACTCAGGGGCCTGACACACTGGTAAAGTTTTCAGGGGTCTGGACATCCTCAGGACACTCCCTCTAAGGTAAAGAACAAATTATTGCACCTTACACCTGCCATTGCTGTGGAAAGGCACAATGGGTGAGTCCTGTCTGGATTTTGTAGATAGCAGATAGCGTAGTTGAAAATAATGCTCCAACCCATTTATCAGCTGGTTCAGAAGGTTTCCATTTGAGCGTGGGGTTCCAAGCAAGAGAGGGCTTTGCACTGAGTTCAGGTTGCCGTACAAACTCCTGCCCCTTGGGCCACACGACAAATAGATCCAACGGCACTAAAGACACATATCGAAATAATTCCCCCAATGTGCTGTGAGAAAATAAATGCCATATTTAAATTGTTGACTATCAGTCATGTAAAACATTCAAAAATCGATTTTCAACTAAAAACATTTAATATTTAAAAACACTGAAAAAATTAAAATTCAAGTGTTGTGTACAAGAATCCTTATAGTTTGTGATAACAAAAAATTAGAAACTACATAAATGCTCATTATCAGAGACATGAATAAGTTTTTGTACACTCACACAACACGACATCATTCAGGATGAATGCATCCATGAACTAGAGTTAAACTGAACAACATAGAAAAATCTCAGACAAATGTGTTCAGCGTGAGATTGTTTTTATAAATTTTAAAGATAGGCAGGCCCTTACTTTTGCTTAGGGTATTTCATTTGCAGAAAAATGATCAGCAGATACAAAGGCGAGGTGGATGCAGAGTTCGGGGTATTTGTTACAGCCAGAGGGGACGCAGAGACCCATGTCTTCAGTCATGTCTGCAGTGTTTCATTTGTTGTACTTTTATTTATACCATTTTTATATCTTAAATATTTTACCATAATTTATAAAAGTAAATGAGAAGGAGTGAGACAGGAGGAAGAGAATTTGAAGCACTCATAATTTCTTCTCATTTGGCAAAACAAGATGCATACTAAGGTGACACTGGTGCTCGTGAAAGACGGTTGAAGGGAAAACAGAGAAGGATGCAGCCGTAGGTGAAGTTAGCGGACACAGACCCTCGCCTTAAGAGCAGGCTTGGGTACAAGGCTGCTCCTCCGGCTCACCAGTGATTTCATGAGCAGAAGTCAGGGGCCTCTGCTAGTTTTCAGGTCACCCCGTTGTGGCTGGGACCCACAGCCAGGAGGCCGGTGTACCCGTGGCTGGGAGGCAGTAGGAAACACACTCCTCCTCCCCCAAGCTGCCCCACAGCCCTGTGGCTGGTGACCAGGAGGGAATGAAGAGTTGGGCCACTGTAACATCTCACTCTACTGGAGCCTGCTGCCGCTGCTACGCCTAATTCCTGCACATCAAATATTAGCAAGTGCGTCGCATTGGACCCCAAATCGCATCCAGAATGCCAATGTGAAGCAGCTATGAATATGACAGAGAAAAATGGAATTTAGGAGTTAGCGAACTGGATTTCATGTGAAGCTGCCCCACAGCCCTGTGGCTGGTGACCAGGAGGGAATGAAGAGTTGGGCCACTGTAACATCTCACTCTACTGGAGCCTGCTGCCGCTGCTCGCCTAATTCCTGCACATCAATTATTAGCAAGTGCGTCGCATTGGACCCCAAATCGCATCCAGAATGCCAATGTGGAGCAGCTATGAATATGACAGAGAAAAATGGAATTTAGGAGTTAGCGAACTGGATTTCATGTGCTACAAGACAGTATCTAGCAAACTCACTACTTTGGCTGCTCAGCATACATGCACAGCCTTCTACTACATTAAAATTTCTAGAAAACTAGAATAGCCACACGGCATGCTGCTGCCTAACACAGTACAACTAGCCTTCACACAAACACAACACTGATCCTTCCTGAAAAGTCTCATAAGTCATAATCTCCATCTCTGAGAGATAATCATTCCTCCTTCAGTTTAATTACCATCCCAGCTTCATATCTTTGTGTCAGTCTGGGTCCTGCAAAAGCAGATTCCAAAACTGAATTATATGTGAGATTTTTGGAGGGAAATGTCGAGGAAGGATAAAGGGAGGGAGAACAGGAGGAGTCAGGACATCACCAGACCCCGATGCAGGTCCAAGAAGGTCTGGACCAGGTGCTGGGGGCTCCTGAGCAAAAGCCACCACACGGGGCAGGAACAGACTGGCTCTAGCATTGCCTGCCACTTCACTGGCTGTGTGCGCCATGTGAGAAGGGCATTCTCCATCTGATTGCCATGATGGACCCGAAGGAGTGGTAGCCGGAGGCAGCCACCAACTATGCTTCCTGCAGCAGGTTCTGTCAGAGCAGATCTGAGAGGGGCACCTCTGTAGCTACCACAGTCTTATGCCCTAAAAACCAAGTAATAAATGTAACCCACACCAACTTACAGGGAAAGAAGAAAAAAAAAACTTATATAATGAAACAAACATGAAAATCCAGGCAGCTAGATAATTCTCAAATCTGAGTGGATCCTGAGGCTGTAGCTGGTGTTTGTAAATTCCTTCTTCCAACCTGAATGACCCTCAGCTGGTGCTGGTCCCTTACTTGGTGGGGTGACCCAAGCTTTCATTTCTGAGCTCTCGATTGATCCACCTGTATTGCATTGCTATAGCTTCCCATTGATTTTTCCCTTTGGACAATGAAATATTAAGAGCATCCCAAAGGATTTCACGGATGTTGGACATATTCCTCCATGTCCCCATTGTGTGCAGCAAACCTCTATTCCCTTGATCATGGTCAGGGTCAATCATGTCAGCCAGTACAGTCACCCCTCCTCTGCCTCTCAGCTCAATGGCATCATGACCCCGAGTGGTCAGGCAGCAGTCCCAACTCTCAGTTCAGTACATCCACTGTGTCCCCTGCTAGAAGCTTTCCTCCCTTGGAAACTAAGACCTCTAAACCTCCAGGGCTCAAAGTTGTGACAAGAAGCAAGACATTTTTGTGTGGGTCTATCACAAATCATAAGCGCAACCAGTCCCATTTTAATCCCTTGACTCACGAAACCCATGCCTTCTGGCCATATGAGAATCAGTACTTTATACTGAATACTGGTTCTTGGTAGATACCGTACCTTGTCAAAGGGCACTTCAACTTCACAAGTTGCGAGATCTCTATGGATTCAGTCATGTGAACTGTTCTATCAGGCATGCTGCTTCCGGGTGGAGGGATGCCCGGCACGATAGAGAATCCCACGAACATGAGCTTGTTGGACTATGACCAGTTGGTCGGAAATAATGCAAATGGAAAGTGAGGTTTCAGACTCTACAGGACCTGGGAGGGTTTAGAAAGGCAGAGATGATGCTAACTAGGAGCATCAACATACAAACTCTGGCAGATCGACCCTCTAAATGTGGAAAACAAGGTGTAATCCCCTCCTAGGGTTGCTATGAGGATTTAGTGAAATAACCAACACTTGCAAAGTCCCGGACACAGTATACTGTACGTGATAAGCCTTATTGATGGATATCTTGGTGTCCTAAATTCAGAATGGCCTATAGCCCTCAACTCTATGCTCTGCAAGAAACTGCTAGAACCGTTATTTTCCATTTGTTCCCCGTATTGTCACTGCAGATCCTTTTTCCATACTTCCCTGGCTCCTGGTAGACTGGACCTCTGTAGGGTAAATCTGGACGTAGCCCTATTCCCCCCTCCACATGCATACCAGAATTCCCCCTTGTATCAGTCCGTTTCTGTTGCTTATAACAAAATACATGGAACTGGGTATTTTATAAAGAAAATAAAATTTACTGCTTACAGTTTCTGAGGCCAGGAAATCCAAAGTCCAGGGAACACAGCTGGTAAGGGTCTTGGTGGTGACTCCAGTGACACATTGTGAAATGGCAGAGCAGAGACTGAGCAGAGAGAGCAGGAGAGACTGTCCTCTCTCTTCTTTAAAAGCCCTCAGAACCACGCCCCTGACCACTATTTTTAATCCATTCACTACTGCAGGGTTCTACAATCCAATCAGCTCTTCAAAGCTCCACCTCTCAATTGCCATAATAGGATTCCCCACCCTCTTAACAGTCACAGTGGGGACCAAGTTTCTAATACAGAAAACTTGGGGGACATGATTCAAGCTTCAGTGAGTTTTGTGGGAACATAATTCAATCCACTGTAGCCCTCCCCCCTGGGAAACTACCCCTGGCCAAGGAAGTTACCCAAGGACAGGTACATCCCCTTTAAGACAAAAGGAAGACTGGAGGAAGCAGGGACCCTAAGTAAATGAATTAGCACACCGGTGCTAAAGCACTCTGGTGCCAGGAGAGTAGTGAGTAGGTCAACTTACCTGCTCAGCAGACCTCCCATGCACTCTGAGTTATGTGAGCTGGGTGAGGGTCTGCACATAAGCCTGCAAATGATTTACACCCCTACTCTGATCTGTTCACTATATAACTGTTGTATGTACCCCATGGCAGTGCAGATATCTGCTTGGCCACTGTCAGCGATTCCCGTAAGTCTGATAAACCGGTATCTCTACCTATTGGAACCCTGGGTGAGTTCTTTGGAATAGGCAAACTCTACATGATTGCCCTCTCAGATTTGGGGGTCCCACGATAAAGCTCCTATGCACCGAGTCACCTGGGATCCTAAATGCCACTCAGCAAACACCAACAGGAGGTCCCAGAGCAGGAGTGGGAGGTCTTGGGACATCTCCTCCCCATCCCTCTCCTGTTTAGGCCATCGTCCCGCCAGTGGCTGGGTCCCTTCTCGACTCAGCTCCCACCCGGCAGCCCCTCCTCCACACCAGCCATTCTCACTGCATTCCGGTCACACTCTCTTCTTTTTGGACACCTTACTCTCCTTTACTTCTATGCGACACCCACAACTTTTAGTCCTCTCATTAATACACCTACGTTTGAACTTCAGAGTGGGCTTCCATTTCCTTCTGGAAGCCTCCCTAATTGATATGCTCAGGGTCTTCGTCCTCAACATCCCAGCCACACCGGCCTCAGAGTGCTGGGTGGAAATTGAGGAAGTCAGGGCAGGCCTGTGGAAGGTGGGGCAGGGAGGGGGAACAGAGCCACGCCGGACACTAGACATCTCCACTCCTCAGCCGACCTGAGGGCTTCACCTCCAAGAGACCAGTGGCTGCCAGCACACAGGCGACTCCCCTAGGAAAACACAAGTCCAGGGCCCCCAGCTGCGCCCCTGTGCAATATGGAGTCACTAACTCTGGAGCTGGACTTCCGTGGCATTGCGCACAGTGATGCAGCTGGCCTTGTATAAGACAGAGCAGGGCACAGCTGACCCTGCGGGGACAAATGTCTGTTTCTTCATCTGTCTCCTGTCCCACATGGCCCTGCTCCCCCTCAACTGTGTGTGCACTTTTCTCTCCCTGGCCACAAATGCCATCAAGACTGAAACTAGGTCACAGAGGCCATGCTGACACAGGCCCTCAGGCCATGGCCTCCCCTGACCTGACTCCCAGGCTCCCCGGCCTAGAGTCCCAAGCACAGACCCAAGTGCCCCCGGCTCACCAGGGCATCCAGCAGGGTCCCTGGTCCCTAGAACACAGCATGCAGGGGACTGTGTGTCCAGCCTGTGAGTGGCAGGGAGCATGTTCCTGAGCTGGGTGGTGAGGGACAAACTTTCTACTACGTAGAGCAGAAGACTACCACCAGCACGACCTGAGCAGGAACCCCTCGGCTACTGTGGACTCGGGCACTGGAGTTTGTGCCCCCCACCCCCAACTCCACACACTGAAGCCCTCACCCCCAGAGTGGCTGTATGGGGAGATGGTGCCCCTGAGGAGGTAAGTAAGGTTAAATGAGGTCATAGGGTGGGCCCTGATGGATAGGAGGGTGTCCTTCTAAGGACACTGTCTTTCAAGATGGGCACTCACCTGTCCTCTCCCCCACACATTTAAGGTTAAATGAGGTCATAGGGTGGGCCCTGATGGATAGGATGGTGTCCTTCTAAGGACACTGTCTTTCAAGATGGGCACTCACCTGTCCTCTCCCCCACACATGGGAATGGAGCAAAGGCCATGTGAGGTCACAGACGAAGCCCCCACCTGCACGCCAGGAGGGAACCCAGGCAGGTGACGAAGGGACCTCAGCAGGAACGTCAACAATCTCTGCCTCGGGCTGAGCCTCGTGACTTTGGCGATGCCCTGTTCCAGTTCCACAAGATAAGGGCATCACGTGGGTAGGAGGGGGACAAACTGACAAGTGTTTAACTTGCTGGTTAGGGAAGTTATGTTCAGTTTTAACAGAGTTGATGCACAAATGTTTTTACCCAGAAGCGCCCGTATGCTGTTCCCCTTCTGACGCAGTAGCCACCGCTGACTGTGGCTTCTGCTGGTAGGCCACCAGCGAGGGTGGCACTGTTCCACTCTGAGGCCCTCCCCTCCCTTCCTGTCCTTCTGTGTAAGACTCTGGTTATTGTAATGAGACTTTGGACAACTTCTCTGTGTTTCAGATGGCGTTTCCGGGCCCATGCTCACATTTGGCTCCCAATAAACTTTACAAAATTATCTCTGCCTTGACAGCCTTAATTTCGGTCCACACAAGGGAACCTTGATCTTGGGCTTCTAGTCTGCACAATGTGAGAAAATAAAGGTCTGTTGTTGAATCCACCCGGTGGTCTGTGGTGTTTCGTTGTGGCAGCCTGAGCAGACTAAGACGGAATTGAACACAACTTCTCCCCACAGGGTGGGCAAAAACACTTTCAACAAATTGGGCAGTGCTTCTGTGGTTCACATCATGGCTTTAGAGTCTGGTTTTCAGGTACAGTTTCTACTCAGCAAATTCACCATTTTGAGGCACACGGCTCTGTGAATTCTGACGAATGCAGTGGTTCTGTAACCAGCACCACAATTAAGACACAGAACCTTCTCATCACCCGCAAACATGCCCCGGTGCCCCTTCGTAGTCCACCCCCTTCCCCAAGCCCCAGCTCAGGCAGCAACTGATATGTCCTCTGCACCTGTAGTTTTGTCTTTTCCAGACTGTCATATAAATGGAATCATACAGAACGTAGCTGGTTGCGACCAGCTTCTCCAACTCAGCACGTGCAGTTGAGGTTTGCGTTGCTGTGTGAATTCACAGGGGTTCCTCTTTATTGCTGAACAGTGACGCTGTCGTGTGGAGGTACCAGTCTGTTTATCCACTCACCTGACGATGGACATTCAGGTCGCTACCAGTTTTTAGCAATTATGCCTAAAGCCACTATTAACATTGGGCACTGGTTTTGGTGTGAACTTATGTTTTCATACAATGCTGTTTTGCTAAAAATGTGAATTCATCTACTGACATGCTGGGAGATTTGGCGGTGATTGGTCCACATGAAGATAATGCACTTTCTCCCTTCTGAAGCCTGGGGCCTGCCTGGGAGCTCTGTGGTTAAGCTGGGCAGGACTGCGGGTGACACCAGGAATCCTTTTATCTATGCTCCATTCCACCTCACATGCAAACATGCCCTCTAGTGCCCAAAAGTTTGCAATTATTACTTACAAATACAATGAGACGTTGCTCTACTGAGCCCAGATATGTGCTGTTTCCCAGAAAAAAACGGAGGTAAGGAGGTGTTCTCTCTCATTTCAAGCCTCTGCCTGGCATAGAAAAGATGGGAGTTGGGTTGATGGATTCTAATGCTTTGTTTACAGCAATGAGAAGTATTTTAAATGCTCATTGTGATAAAACTCCGCATACAATAGTACAAACTAACTGCCTCATATTTCATTTGCCTTTCAATGATCCTGACAGGATATTTCCAAGGGTTTTAGGATAAAATGTAAAGCCTCAAAACAACTGGGGGAAACAAGGTCCGTGATCATTTTCCCTAAAATGGAAATCCACTTTGTATACAATTTTTTAAAATGTTTACACCTACACGTCCTTGTCAATCATTAGTAGGAACGGCTGTTTTCAATACACCTGTCACATCCATGATGATTTCTTACGCGACCTATTCAGTGGTCACACAGTAAAGAAGGCTGTTCATCCAGACTTGAGCTTTATTTAATAACTTGAGCCCCTACCTACCACTCAGCATCGTAATTACTCCAATTCAATAGTTTAGCTGGAACCGTGCAAATTTGTCAACATTCTGTTTTTGAGCTACCAAAAC